ACCTGTGAGACAGCTCCACATAGAATTTAATGCCTGTGATATATATATATATATATATATATATATATATACCTAAAAAAAACTAAAAAATAAACTGAAACTGTTATTTAAAAAAATAAATACTGCATTAAAAATATGGTATTTTAGTCTAGTTTTGATATGATATTATTTTAAATATTAATGACATATTAAGTTGTGTTTTCAGACAAATCTGACAAAATTAGTGAGTTTTATGTTTAAAGAAAAACTAAATAATTGTCAAAATGGTAAAAAAAACGAAAAAAGTTTTCCCCTTAAATGACATTTATTTTCCTTTTTAAATTACTTTTTAAATAAAATTAAATTACGGCTATTAAAGTAATGAAATACTTTTCAGTACCCAGTCTCATTAATGAACTAATAAAGTTAATAATGTTAATAAAATAAAATAATAAACAAAACGTGCTAATTAAAAGCCACATTTTTATCATGGTAATCATTTGATTATTTTCTCATGAAATGTATGCCCTCGCAAACAACTAGTATGTGGTAAATCTGTGGAAATGTTACCCAAACGTGTGTGAAAAGAATTCACAACACAATATTTTTATAAAGGGAGCTGTGATTTTTGATTCTGTCAGTGAATCCTGCAGTGCTGTCTCAGATATCCAGGAATAAAACAGCTAACAGCTCAAAAAAAGATCTGCCAACTTCAGCGCAGAAAGAAACAGTAGCTAACCGCATCCAATAAACCACCCTGCCGCATTCAGAAACCTCCATGAATAAAATATTAATAAAAATGAAAGCGAGTCGTTGGGTCTGAGACGAGCGGCACAGCACAAAACTGCTCAAGATTCCCTGTAAATAGTTGTTCTGTGCGGTGTGTTTGGAATGGAAAATTCCATAAAAATCTGTTACTAAGGAAAACCAAACAAAGGAAACAGTACTTTACGAGAACAAGTTGGTTTGGTGCAGCAAACGAGCACATGCTCAAACCTCCATACGTGAGCGTTTTAATGCATCATGAGGGGCAGAGAGGAGTTTCAAAGCTATAAATCCACCAAAGGAAAAGGTTCCTTTGTTACTGTACATTTATCTGCATAATAAATATGTCAGGCTTTGATGTGGTTCTGACCCCTCAGAGCCACCGTACCTTGGCGTAACGGATCTGCAGGGCTCCTGTGTCCAGCTGTTTGAGGCGAGAGTCGTGGGTGGACACCAGGACCCCGTCTTTCCTCCACAGGATGGTGGGAGTCGGCGTGCCGGTGGCTTGGCATCCCAGGACCACCGTCCCATCCACAGCCACGGTCTGGTTGGTGGGACCCTGGCGGACGACGGGTGGCGGTCTGTCTGAGATCACTGTGAGAGAGAAACCAATCACTTTAGTATAGGAGCATAATAACATTATCAAAATAACTGTATTCCTATTATTCATTAATATCATGTTGAGTGTTTATTGTATTTAGTTTGCAAATGTTATTTAATGGTATATTATGTCATTATTAAATATATTAACAATACCTAGACCATATTATTTTCTTTCATTTTTATTACTTTATTTACATTTATTGCTAAAATAAATACATTAATAAATTCTGCAATTAATTAATTAAAAAGTAGAATAAAATAATAAAATAAAAACAACATATAATTAAATAAAAAGTAAAATAAAATAAAAATAAAACCACTTTCAGACCAGAGCCGAGCAGCTGAGTCGGCTAAAAACACATCTCTTCCATCTTCATTTGACCCTCTAAGTCTAACGCTCTATTTTAATTCTATTTTGTCAATTTGTTTTCTTTTTTAATTATTATAAAAAAATGACCCTCTAACGCTAGGATTCTCTATTCTTTTTCTATTCTTTTATTTTTATTTTAAAAAAGACCCTCTAACACTAGCATTCCCTATTATTTTTCTATTCTATTTATTCTTATATATATAAAAAAACTTGCATACTGCGTTAGGCTAACTGAGACTTATCACAGCTGTTACATATTATTGCTCTTTAGTTGATTTTGATTGCTTCTATTGTCCTCATTTTTAAGTCTATTTGGATAAAAGCGTCTTCTAAATGACTAAAATGTAAATGTAAGATCAGTGATTGCCTTGTTCTAGTCCTCATAATAATTAAAAAATATTAACATTTTTCTCTTCTCTTTTCTTGTCTTTATTTTTAAAATAAAACAAAATAAAAATAAATAAATAAAATGGATCACTTTAAGATGAATCGCTTTGTTGTATCAATTAGCATCTGCAATCACTTAGCGTCTGCAAAATAAATATATGTATAAAGTAAAATAAAATAAAATGAATGCATGCATTCGGCTAAGCTGCAAAATAGTTGGCGATATGAATCTAAATGATCTATAATGCCACTAAAATGCATTAAACTAAAAGTGAGAGACCGAAAGACAGGATGAGACAAAGAGGAAGAAAGTGAGACAGAACGAGACACAGAGTCTTAAGACAGAGTCTAATATCATTATAATAACTATAATAAAACACTACAGCACTCCAAACCGAAATCCAAAATACATCCTTCCACATTTTCTAAGAGCCACAGAAGCGAGCGCGTGTACGGTCAGAGGTAAAGAGAACGAAGAACGCGAATAAAAATAAATGTAACCAAGGAAAAAGAGCATGTGAGAGAGGAATGCCTGGCACCAAACGAGCTGAGTACATGTTTTACGAATGAGAGAGAGAGAGAGAGAGAGAGAGAGAGAGAGAGAGAGAGAGAGAGAGAGAAACTAAAAGTGAGAGACCGAAAGACAGGATGAGACAAAGAGGAAGAAAGTGAGACAGAACGAGACACAGAGTCTTAAGACAGAGTCTAATATCATTATAATAACTATAATAAAACACTACAGCACTCCAAACCGAAATCCAAAATACATCCTTCCACATTTTCTAAGAGCCACAGAAGCGAGCGCGTGTACGGTCAGAGGTAAAGAGAACGAAGAACGCGAATAAAAATAAATGTAACCAAGGAAAAAGAGCATGTGAGAGTGGAATGTCTGGCAGCAAACGAGCTGAGTACATGTTTTAATAACCAAAGAGAGAGAAATAGAGATGGAATCCAATTTTTTCAACTGGAAGCAATTTTCTAATCAGTCACCAGCAGTAGCCAAGTGAAGCCAAACTAGAGACGAGCAATTAATACCGGCAGCATTTCAGCAGCACTGAACCTCCCTCACACACACTAAAACACACCCAAACACAATCGCCCCCCGCCCCGCCCTCCTCTCTCTCACAGCGGACCTGGCCGGTCTGATTGTAGTAAAAGCTGCGATGTTTATGTCCATCTGATTGTGTTTGACCCCGCTAGAAGCATTACCGCCATTTATACGGCTGCAATTTGCATAAATGCCACTACAGTGCATTTCAAAGCCCTACAACACTTTTGTAAGGGCCATTAAAGGGATGAATTATGTATCACATGACACGTTCGCTCAGGCACGGTTGTGTCCTCACGTCGCCGCTGTTGTAATTACTGAATCATCATGGCGGTGACCTGTAATTACGCTCCATGCCCGCAGTGAGAGCGAGGCCAGAGATCAGATCGGCGCTAAAATAACTGTTATTATTCTTTCTTTACCTCACATTCGCTCTCTTTGTCTTGCGTTGGTGTTTTTTTAAGGATGGCACTCACAGGAGATTATGTTGGATGAGAGAGAACTGCCAAACTGTCACTATTCAGTTGAAGTGTCTTATTGACTATTTGAACATACGGAGTAATCAGTGTTGGAGTAATGTGTGTATTTTCTATAAAATACTGTTATTTGCATTGAATATGATTTTAAACCTAAATTTTATGTCCAGCCACAAATATTTAACAACGTTTTGCCTTTATACAGTGCGTGTCGCATGCAAAAATGAACAGCACAAGCTGTTTTGGCTGATTTAGCCAACAAATGACTCTTATAAACTGATTCTTTTTAATGATTCAGTCAAAAGGATTCAAGAAACAGTCTCAAACTCACTGCCGGGTCAGACTCTTTCGGTCAGCGAATCATTCAGGGTTACTCATGGGTGACTTCATCACTTACATTATTTGTGATATTTACAAAAAAGAATATTACAATAGCAAAATGTGATTAAGTAAAATTAATTGCATCCTGGCAGAAAAACACCTGAGCTGTATTGTGCTGTATTGTCAAAACTTTTGACATGGTTACATGAAACTAATAGCCAGAAATCTATGAGCAGGGGTGTGAAGTAACGAATTACAAATACTCACGTTACAGTAATTAAGTAGTTTTTATCAGTAATTGTTCTTTTTTGAGTAGTTTAAAAATTGTGTACTTTTACTTTTACTTGAGTACATTTTAAGTGATGTATCGGTACTTTTACTCCGCTATTTTCCTCCGTTTGTGGTCGTTACATGCTTATTTTAATTTTATTTTTTATCCATCAACGTGATTGGATAGAGAGTAATAGGTCTCGTGACTTTCGTCAAATCAAATTGTGCATAGAAAATTTTAACCGCCAACTGTTTATCATGGCTGCTGGAAGTTTTGGAAGGTAATGGTACTTTTACTTGAGTATATTTTTTCAGTACTCTTTCCACCACTGTCTATGAGTAACGACAGAAAATGCAATGTTTATCTTTATAATGCCCATCTAGAAAAGGTTCATATTTGTTTTACAAATAAATCCATAAGTAATATAATGAGTAAGTCATTTGCAGTGCCAAACGGAGCAATTAATTGCAATATAATTAAACAGTATATTGCAATCAATGTAAAATATTTCATTAAAAATTAAATTAAATTAAATTAAATTAAATTAAATTAAATTAAATTAAATTAAATTAAATTATTCAAAATAAAATTTTGGGGAGTAACTTCCCCTAAACTGAGTAGCAAAAACTAAGGCTTCATCTGTGTTGAGTGCGTCCATCTCACCGTCTGTAACCTCCAGCAGGGCTTTGGTGATCACACTGCCAGCGATGTTCAGAGCCTGACAGCTGTAGTAGCCTCCGTCCGAACGCTCCACCGCTGTGATGGTCAGATCACCCGTCTGAGAGACAGAGAATCGACTGGAGGGAGGAGGAGGTTGAGAGGAGAACAGAAGGTTCTGGAGAGGGGAAAGAGGAAAAAGATCTATGAATAGAGTTAGAATCTGATAATAAAAATATAAAAACATAAACACTAATTACTGCAAGAATATTCAGTGTGTGAGAAATATACATCTTGTCAGGACTTGCACGTTCACACTAACTATTGGCACGGTGTGCCTGAATTCCCGAGTGTGCGATGAGTGTTACTGACCAACCCAAGATGACTTGAGGTGTGTTAGAGGTGTGGAGTATTACAGAGCCCATTAGATGTGTGTAAATGTGCAGATGGCCTTATAAATCTACCAGTCTCATAAATCTGACGACTTTAATGGGGAAGAGTGCCATGCATTTTATATGTTACTGTAAAAGTGTGCTCAGGAAATGCATCTTCATACCACAAGTGAAAGAAAAACCCCACAAACATTCTCACCTGACTGCCTTCTTTCTGCCAAAATATGGCAGGCTGAGGACTTCCTGTGGCTTCGCATTGAAAGGTCAGAGTGCGGCCCATCCCGACCACTTGATTCCTGGGTCGCACCACGAACACAGGAGGAACTGCAGGAATATGAGTTAAACAAATCAATTACCAAAGATCAATTCATTTTGACTCTTAGTATGTAAAAAACAAAAACATATTTACATTTATGCACTTACAGTGGAAGTCTATGGAGCTTGATGGTTTAAAAGCAGATGTGCAGTGTTTATTTTCTAAAATATGTATTTGCATTTCATTAAATAATCTTTCTAACACCTGGTACCTAGTACCTACTTTCTATTTGAAAATATTTCAAAATGTAATTTATTCCTGTGATGCAAAGCTGAATTTTCAGCATCATTATTCCAGTCTTCAGTGTCACATGATCCTTTACAAATCACTCTAATGTGCTGATTTGGTGTTCAAGAAACCTTTCTTATTATTATCAATGTTGAAAACAACAATATTTCTGTGGAAAAACTGATAGTTGTTTTTTTTCCAGAATTCGTTGACAAACAGAAAAGTCAAAAGAACAGCATTTATTTGAAATAGAAATCTTTTGTAGCATCATCAATGTCTTTACAGTTTTTTTAATCAATTTAATGCACCCTTGATGAATAAAAGTATTAATTTCTTTAAAAAAAAACAGTAGTGAATATATAAATATTTTAGTATTTAAATATAGTACATACATATTAACATTTTTAAATATCCATTATTTTCTATCTACGTCTGTGTCAACATTTCTATCTTAACATTTCTTTACACAATGCTATGAAATTACTTGATGAGCATATTGTTCTTTCCTGTTGAAATATCTTTTATTAAAACAGGAAGTCGGGTCAATAATCTTTAGTTTACGTCACAGATTCAGCCGTGACATTCTTGTTTTTTTATAGATCACTGTAGTCATTCATATTTTTGGTCCTAGAAGAGAAAGACTGAATTTTATAAGGGCATTTCAGCCTCTACAAGCAAATCTGTCATTTTGATTTCAGGGGGTCTTTGACATCAGCCGAATTTCTTGCGTATACGATAAATACACTGGAGACTGACAGAGCTCAACCCTTCAGCATCACATTAACAGCAGGCGATAAAAGAAGAGTCATACTGCTGTTTAATGGACGGATGTGCAGGTATGCCGAAACATAAAAACAGATGTAGACGCAGTAAAAAAACGGCTTCATTTGCATGGGCAAGGGCACAAAGCAATAAAATTTACATGGAGATGGGGGATGAATTTGGGCCATCTGTCCCGTGCTGACACACTTTAATGGCACCGGCGTCGTGTGGGATGCAGGTTTTTCATGCATCTTAATAACAAACTCCGTCTCGTGATTTCCGACGCGAACTCGACTTCTGCGTCCGTAACAGCACGGAGCCATTTCAGCTTGTAATAAGGATGAATATTTTCATAATATGTGACACAAAGTATGACCCCGAGCGCCACATACACCACAGCACTAAACCAATCTTACACCTGTCAAATCACACACTGCCGTAATGCATCCGGAGGAACAAAGGAAGAATTTTCAACTAAGTGAGAATAAAATGAGGCGATTTTGACGTTACCTTGTACGCTCCGAGCGAGCATTAGTTTTACCCAGGCCTGCTGTGCTGTCACTGTTGCCGGTGACAACCCAGACAAGCGTGCTGATTGGTGGGAGGATTGAAGGTGGATGGATGGTGGTTCTGACAACTTCCTGTTGCTGTCAATGCAGCATAAATGGTGACGGGTGACATTTGCAACTTACCAGACACAACTGAAAGAGGAAAGAAAAAAATAGAAGCACGATAAAACACAGATGTGATAGATGCGCAAATAAACCGCACATGACATGAAGCAAAAATGACAGGATATGCTTACAGAACAAAATCAGTGCAGTGATGTATTTATGAGAATAAAACACAAAAACATACACAAAACATAAGGTGTGGCAAGCACACACACGTTGTAAATATATCATGAGCTGAAATATATGGCAGAAACCACACAAAGAAACAATTCTATCAGTCATGAGGTATGAATGGAGGTTTTATTCTTCTGGTCTGGCCAAAGATTTTATTAGGTGGAAAATGTAAGCTGGGGTCTGGCCCTTTAAAAGCTGCAGTGTGTCATTTTTTTTTACCAAAAATGGCATGAGTTTAGGGGCGTGACTATCTGTTTGTCTGAATATTGGCAGACAATTATTTTAATATTTTCAAATAGTTTTATTTTTTTCATTCACACTGCTCCGGGTGTGTGTTCACGGTGTGTGTGTTCACTGCTGTGTGCGTGCACTTAGGATGGGATAAATGCAGAGCACTAATTCCGAGTATGGGTTACCATACTTGGCCACATGTCACAATCACTTTTTCACTTTTTATAATTTTATTTGTTTCCGCTGCACTCCTAAAAATGTTCTTTATTGGCATTGATGGTCCCATGAAGAAGCTTTAAAATTCATGGAAGCTTTCCATTGCACAAAAGGTTCTTTAGATTACTAAAATGTTCTTTACACTAAGAAAAACTGCTGATTGAAAGGGAACCAAAGGTGGTTCTTCTGTGGCACCTTTATTTTGAGAGTGTGATGCATGGAAATTAAACACTCTAACTGTAAAAGAAATACAAATTCTGCAGCAATTTTGCATAATTTGTATAAAAATCCTCACTCTCCAGTACACAGTTTTAAAAAGTTGAAAACGACATGAAATGGCATTTACAAAGCATCTGTAAAGTGACATATTTCCAAATGAAACCTACTATTTAGTTGGAATAAAGTAGGGTGAAAATTAAATCTTAATGGAAGATTATGCAAAGAAACCACTGATGAATCGTGCACAATAAACCAAGAACATTTGTTAAGCAAGCTCAGTAAATAGGTCGAATTTAACTTTAACTTTAATGCAATAACTCGGGCCATTTGGAGTCGATCCTATGAGATGGGTGAGAAATGAGGGAAAGCGGTATATTTGAGAACAGCTGGGTAAAGAGAACTCGACTTGGACGGCCCGTTTGCTCTTTTGGCAGTGGCAGCGGATCCCACTCTACTTGGTTTCCATGGCCCATTAACACAGCTACTCCTGGGACTCGCATGGCATTCTAGCACTTTCCTCAAATACATCAGTACTAATGACTAAATCGCCAGCTGAGAGAGGCCTCGTTTGTATCCAACATATCTTTCCATGGCTTTTTAACAGAGAACCGACTCTGATTCTGAATGACTTATCTCAGAGATTGTGTGTGTTTGTGCGCATTCGACTGCGTCTCAAATCCTAGTGAGCTGCACACCTAGACAGCTTTTAAAATCTTGAACCATTTGATGAATCGTTTGACTCTTCAAATGCATCTATGATACCCGAAAGTAGGAAGATCACAAGGTTTTGAAACACAGCCCATGTAATTCTCTCAAAACTCTAGTCACACAAAAGACATGCTCTAATAGAACTCATCAGTTTGAATGTTTGAGGAATCTCATTTCTTGGCATCTGAAAAGCAATGCTGTGCCAAAGACAAGTTTAGTAATAAGCCCCTTCACTGGACAGACTGATTATTGAAGCAGACGTGTTTAGAAGTCTGGTTCCAATGTTGCTGGCCCGCTAAACACACATGTAATATAATAATTCAGCAATTTCTGTAAGCAGTAAAAACCAGTAAAAGCAATAAGCGAAGCAGGGAATGAGAGAGGAGGAGATGGAGGAAACTGCTCAGGGGTGTCACAACACAATGTGCACATTGTTCTCTAAAGAGTTGAGCCTTCAAGAGTGTGAAATTCACTCAAGGGGCCAACATGAATACATAAGTAAAATGTGTGTGTTCTGATATATGGGTGTTTCTACAACTAAACCTTGTTTTTATTAACTAATTATTTAAAAAAAAATCAATTATGACTAAATTATAAATAATTGTAAATATCAAATAAATTATTATAACTAAATATTTCAGATTTTTCTTTTTGTTAAATAAATAAAAAAATTATTATTATTATTATTATTTTTTTTTTTTAACTATGCTATTATAAACAAAAGAGCAAAGTAAACAAACCAATTCAATATTCATATATTTATTGTAAATATTTATTTTTGTTAAATAAATAAATAATAATCATTATTATTATTATCATTATTTTAAAAAATTATGCTATTATAAACAAAAGAGCAAAGTAAACAAACCAGTTCAATATTCATATATTTATTGTAAATATTTATTTTTGTTAAATAAATAAATAAATAAATGATTATTATTATTATAATTATTTTAAAAGTTATGCTATTATAAACAAAAGAGCAAAGTAAACAAACCAATTCAATATTCATATATTTATTGTAAATATTTTTGTTAAATAAATAAATTAATATTAGCATTATTTTAAAAATTATGCTATTATAAACAAAAGAGCAAAGTAAACAAACCAATTCAATATTCATATATTTATTGTAAATATTTATGTTAAATAAATAAATTAATATTAGCATTATTTTAAAAATTATGCTATTATAAACAAAAGAGCAAAGTAAACAAACCAATTCAATATTCATATATTTATTGTAAATAAAAAAATCGAATATTCCACAAATAATAACTATCTTAGTTGTAGTATCATTTCCACCACAACAAACTTAAAAAAAAAATTATATTATTATATTTTAAAATACTTGGTTACTAAGAAAACAAAAGTGAGGAGCAAGCTTGAGATAAAATATGAATTGCGATTAGTGACAAAAGTAAATAAAAATCAAGTTAAACGTCAACTGAATCATTTCCACTCAAGTTTCCAAAAACCTAAGAAAGATGAAGATATCACCCATTTTTCACATTAAAATGTAATTTCCACCACAGGGTGTTATCAAACACAACAAATCATTTGAGATGTGGTGGAAATGATGCTTCAGAAAAATGACAGAAATAATCCTGTTTCACTCACAGGATACAGAGAGAGAGAGAAAAAAAAAAGAGTTTCCAACAGCTAGGGAAAAAATGGTAAGGAATATTCAAAATGATGCAGCATCCAGTCGGACAAAGCTACCTGACAAGCTGTCAAAGCAGCAAACGTTTGTCTGAAAACTAACAGCTGGTCAAAGCACACACACAATCTCCCGCCCACCGAGGGCATTCGTTACTTCAAATTATAGATAAGTGGCTGCAGGATCGAAGCAGTTTGTCAAGCAGCGTGAGATGAGTGACAGCGTGTGTTTGTGTGTTCTTACCGTGGACGGTGAGGGTGGCGCTGGCCTCCGTCTTCCCCATCATGTTCTCCGCCTGACAGGTGTAAGTACCGGCGTCTCCTGAGGTCAGTCTCTTCAGTTTGAGCATGTGGTCCTCCCAGATCTCATGCCTGAGAAGATGATGATACACAAACAAGATGATGTCTTTCTGGCCATTTCCCACTCCCATTTTATTGTTCTTAATATAAACTAACCAGAAGCTTTCTCACTCATACCTTCCCTTGGGAAGATCTCCGTCCTCTTTCCTCCAGCGGATGGTGGGCACGGGGTCTCCTTGAGCTTCACATCTGAACTCCACACTCTGGTCCACCAGAACAGACTGACTGCTCGGCTTTCGTAAGAAACTGGGCCTCTCTGCACACAAACACGCAGCTTATTATGTAATACACGTTTCCCAGTCTTCCCTATGAGATATTCCCTTCTCTGATCTGATTGGCTACTTATGAACTTACAGTGAACTATATCTATCCATCTATTTTTACTCATTCTCATCTTTCTTCTTCATAACAGCTAGTTTTAGTAGATTTCCTCAAACAAACAGTTCACCTATGGTTTCAGCTTGAACTCTGACTTCTTGTTTTAGCCTAAACGTTCATGCAGCTAATCCTAAAGAAAGCTTCCTCTCTGATTTATTTATTAAGATTATATAACTTTGATGTTAGGATATGATTGAATCTGTTCAGATTAAGATGATCTAACCCACTGATATGAGGAAACAGCACTACAGTTCCTTAAAGGCACATTTACTGTATCACAGCAGTTAATTCATGTTTATCGATCACTTGTAATGTACCCATTGATTTTTTTTTTAGTCCATGTTGTTTTTATTATACTTTCCATTTATATTACTTTGCATATAATGTGGGCTAGCTACAACTGCTATCAGTGTTATTGTTAACTAAAACTATTAAAAATAGTATTAAAATAATCGTTTTCGATTATTTAAAGGTGGGGTAAGTGATTTCTGATAGCCAATGCTGACATTTCAAACCACCAAAACAAACGCGCCCCTACCCCAAAAGGGTCTCGCCCCTATTTTGATAGCTCCGCCCCACACATACGTACGCAACCCAGGCAACGGTTAGTTCTGTGAAACAAAGCAAAACCAATGTTACACCGTGTCTACACCGGACGCGAGCAGTGCGGTGCGGCATGACAAAATACTATAGAACTCATTATAATCAGTGATGCTGTCTACACTGGATGCAGCGCGGCACGGCGCGACGCGACGCGACACGACACGACACGACACGACAAATCCCCGACAGAATACTGCTGCTGCGTTCTATTTACGTTCTAATGACGTATTGACACAAATTTCAAATGATTTTCAATGGTCGCTTTGTCGCGTCCAGTGTAGACAGACTGTTGTGGCGCGGCGAGACAACTGTCGCGTCCGGTGTAGACACGGTGTTACTCACCTATCGAGAAGAAACAAAACAACCTCGGCGTCCGATCGCAGGCCTTCCCGCTCCTTAAGCTCTCTCCAGCGCTGGAAAGCTGATCCGATATTTACACGGGTCCTACTTCTTGCCTTATCGTAAGCCTTCTTTTGTTCCGCAGACGTTTTCCTCTTTTGTTTTTTATCCGCCATCTCTATCTTTCTGTCGCTCGGCTAATGTCCGTCCAGTGCACTGAGCGCTCTCTCGTCCCCAGCATGAGTAGACACGTCCCTTACTGCTGATTGGCTACAAGTTTGTTTTGGTACTCGGTCAAAAGCATTTTTCAAAAATCGCTTGCTTTGTGCACTTACAACTTAAACTACAATTAAAATGAAAACTGAAAACATATAAATAAAAACCCATTTAAATAATAATTTGAATAAAATAAATACATAGAATAAATTCTATCATTGTATACAAATAAAACTAAAATAACACTGATTCATTAAATTAAATTGAGTCATTCATGAAAATGGCTGACACATTTATGAAAATTAGCAGAAGTAAATGAGAAATGAGTCTTTTAAGGGGAGTCATTTTTTTATAGTTGCTTCCATGTCACCTTAATACAGATTCTACTGTAAGTCAGTAATTCACAGGTTGCTATCTCAGAAATGTATTAACATATCAACAATGGCTCAACCAATGGCTTGAGTTGGGGGCGGGACTTTCAGAATGACCTATGGCAAGCTGTTCGAAAACAGTCCTTATTTTTCAGCATTGTGTTTTGTGATTCTATTGCCACTTTAAATGAAATCTGCTGAGATTTCTGGAAGTGTTTTTGGAGGAATTACATTTAACTCTATTTCTTACACTTGGTCTATACTGAGAATGACAGTAAACTTGACTTGACATAATATGGCTGGTGACTTTCTCCTGTAATGTGTACATATGCCAGCAGACACTGAATAATGAGGTTGACAGTGATGGAGAAGAGGACGGCTGTGTTGCAGGGATTAAGGAGGGAAGGTCAAAGGTCACAGCTCTGATGTTGGGTAGTGTAAACTGATATGTTAAGGTGTTGGATGACAGATGAATGTATATTTTTGTGTGTATGTGTGAATGAAGGGGTGTGTGAAGTGTGAGCTGGTATTTGTTTCACGGCAGACTGAGGATAATGGGGCCATGTCTCCTAAACAGGGTCAATGACATGCTGGAGTCTTCCTACAGCTAAGCACACAAACTCTAAACAGCTGGGCTCTCCCCTGCTCTGCCCATAAACAAACACTTCATACGACGTGTGTGTGTGTTTAAGTGAATCCATCTGCATGCGTTTCCACAATCGAATGCACCAGAGGTTTGTGTGGGAACCTGATTATATAAACACATGTGCGTCGTAAAGAAGGCAGATCATGTGCCGGAGTATCTGAGAATATCGAAATACATATATTAAAGCAGGAATATATCGAAAACGTACCGAGAACAGTCAACTCTGCGATCTCGCTCTCCCGTTCCCCCATCATGTTGGTTCCCACACACACGTACTTCCCTGCATCCGTTTTTCTGGTGTTGGTGATCATCAGTTTTCCTCCTCGTATCTGTCAGAAAGAAAATATGAGAAGTCATAAATATGAGGATTAAATGTCAAAGGTCAAACAAACCTATATGGGAACCTGATTATATAAACACATGTGCATCTTGAAGAAGGCAGATTAGACATGAGAATCAGACATGTCATATATTGAAATGCATAAATTAAAGCAAAAATATATCGAAAACATACCGAGAACGGTCAACTCTGCGATCTCGCTCTCTCGTTCCCCCATCATGTTGGTTCCCACGCACACGTACTTCCCTGCATCCGTTTTTCTGGTGTTGGTGATCATCATCCTTATTCACCTGAGCGGATCAGAATCACACACACACACAACACATCTGACCCCTGCATCAGGGGACTACACGGCGAGAGTCAATGAGGGGGAGCAGAATGTGGCAGCTCTCCTGCGGCCCCCTACCTGCCTGCATTTACACCAATGGATGGATGGATGGACGGACGGATGGAAAGATGGATGGATGGAATGATAGGTAGGCAGGTAGGTATGTGAATGGATGGATGGATGGATGGACAGATAGAAACTAACAAAGAAACTAAAGAAGAAATGGATGAATGGATGGATGGACAGATAGAAACTAACAAGGAAACTAAAGAAGAAATGGATGAACAGATGGAAACTAACAAAGAAACTACAGAAGAAACGATGGATGAATGGATGGTTGGAGAAAAAATGATGAACAGACCGAAATTAAATAAACAATAGATGGATGGATGGGGTGACAGGTAGAAACTAACAAAAACTAAAGAAAAAATAATGGATGGATGGAAACTAACAAAAACTAAGAAAGTATGGATGGATGGAAACTAATGAAGAAACTAATGAAGAAAACTGGATAAACAGACATAAATGAACAAAGAAGCGATAGATGGATGGATGGATGGATGGACAGATAGAAACTAACAAAGAAGCTAAAGAAGAAATGGATGGATGGATGGATGGATGGACAGATAGAAACTAACAAAGAAACTAAAGAAGAAATGGATG